TGGGGAGGGGGCCCTTGGAAGCCACTTGGCTGACTCTGCTGCGCCCGACCCCTCCTCAGCCTCCCTCCGCCCTCAGGCCGCCAGCCCGAACTCCGCGGCTGGTGCTTTCATTTTATTTCCGACCACGTAGGGGGCTGGCTGGAAGGGATGAAACAAACCAGGTTTTCTAGGGAGATGGAGCAAGCACCTCGGTTGGGGGTGGAAGTAGGGTGGTGGTGGAGATCCAGTCAGAAACAACAACAAAAAAAATCAGTTTCTAAGGACTGTGGAGTTCGGTTCAATCCCGCGGAGGCTCTGTTTTGTTTTGCTTTCTTAGTATATAATCCTACAGATAAGAGGGTAATATAAATACTTCGGAAGATTGGGAAATTGCTGAAGAGTAGTAAGGGCAAGAAAAAAAAAAAGCCAGTCGGAAGCTGGTTATATAATGCGCGATGTGGCTAAGGAGAACGGCAAGCTATTTTTATTTTGTTTACCGTATGCTGTGCAGTAGGGACTCCTCTCCAAACTGGTTCTGTCCCCGAAGAGATCCTTAGCTTCCCTGCGAGATCCACAGGGTACAGTTAGCAACATTATAAGACCCCCATTACACCCACAGAATCAAAACTAATGCCTTAGAGTGGCATACTCCCTGCACATCCTGTCGTGCATGCACGGGAATGTGTGTATGCAAATAAGTCCTCCTTTGGCAATCTAGTAGTCACAGCTCAATGACATTTGTGTTTTATAATGCAGGGTGCTCTTAATATTTAAACATCATCGTTACATGTCGCACACAGCAGAGGGTGGTTACTTGAGGGTTATTTTTAGGCTCAGCTAGTTACTTTTCAACACTGTTAGCTAAGCCATTTCTGTTTGGGTTTATGAGGAACCTTGCAGTTCCTAGAAGCCCCTGGTAAAGCCCACCTTGTGGTTTATTTGGTGGGCTAAGGAAGTTTGATACCTCTGGGGAAACCACCAGAGAGGAGGATGAGAAAATCCTGCACATGAACTCTTGGAAAGGATTGCACCGTAACGGCCAATGCTGTGGCATTTAATCTCCTTTGACTGCCCTCTAACTGTGCATGCATCAGTCAGTATTTTAACAGCTCCACAGACAAATGGGCTTAAATGCCCCCTTCTACATAAAGCAGAAGTTGAAGTCTCCCCCTGAACCTCCTGCCTGCCTGTCTTTTTCCTCTTGTAGATATGGTCAGTGGTGTAGGTTTTCGGAGCACTTACTCCAACCCCATCACTCATGTAATTAGATCAGGCTGCCATGGCAACAGGCAGTGTTCCTCCTCCATTCAGGTGGGTTTGTTTTGTGCCTGGACTATTCCCAGTGTTTTCTGCACAGTATTTGTGCTGCCCAAGCCAGACCAGAGAGACTTCACTATTTCAATTGCGCCTTCATTTGGATGGGAGACACTGAAGGAGTCTTATCCATACTCTCATAAAGGAGACCAACAAGCTGTTCTTACTGGGTGCAGTATGTAAATGCCTCTCCCAGACAGAGAAAGGAGCCCGACAATCCTGCTGGTGTTTATTGTGAACAGTTCAACAAGTATTTGGTACTTGTTAGGAACCTTTCAGAGCTGACTAAAGCAACATTTCTTTTGCCTTCTGGTGCCATTGGCCTTGCAGGCATTAACCCTTTCAAGGGCGGAAGTGCTCATTCTTTAGAATCTCAGTTACCAGTAGTCATGACTGGTTTTCTAAAGGGTTTACTCAGTGGAAGTAATTTATTTGGGAAAGTTATCCCCATTGTCACATTTTAAAACTGGGACTGACAGTAGGCAGCCATTCTGAATGTATTGATGTGCTTCATTTGGATCTTTTGGCCATGATCTATAATCTGTGGTAGTAAGTGAAAAGGTTTGTGTCTCAGGAAAGAGATCATACAGACCTGTAGCTGGTAGACTGATACTGTGTGGTGCTTTTGCACAATAAACAACTTCTGCTCTACTTTGGGATATAATTTAATGAGCATTTAATAATTTAGAGAGCAGCAGTCCACTCTTTGTATTAGGGCACCACCTTATTAAACCTGTTAAGCAAAGACAAGTAATACTGTTACAAAAAGAAAAGAAAATTAGCTTTGGTTGTGGAAACTCTGTGTTGCTCAGGCAATCCAAATAAAGGGAAGTATTTTAGTAACCTTGATATTTGAAAGTAAAAATAATTGAAATCACGCCTTGATTTAGTTGTGACCCTGCCAGCCGTCCCCGAGCTAAATTGGTAAATCCTTTTCCCCTTGGGGCCAAGGGTGGGGTGTGAGGTTACCAGTTTCTAGTAGTGAGTTTATGTGTTTGGTAACTAGATTGTGGCCTACTCAATTGCAGTGGTTAAAACGAGGAGCTACTGTTATTCCTAGGAGGTAAACAGATGGGATGCAAGAATATAAAGTAAGGTACAGAAGTGTAAGTTTTACCCAACACCTTGGAGGTCCTGGATGATATTTTGGGACTTATAGAAAATCGTTTTTACTTGCCCTAAAATGTGAACATGTATTTTTGAATGCATAAATTCATGCTAAAGTAAGGATGAGAAATGTACCTGATTGGGAACTGTGAAAAGTTAATATTTTTCTCTCTGGATTTTGTTTTAAGAGGGTTTGGTAAACAGAAGTGATACTTTATCAGAAATATTATAAATTGGCTTCAGGGCTTCTGAATTGTCTTTTACTTAGAGAAAGGTTCAAGAAAAACTCTTTAGCCCTGGGTTTATACATCAAATGCCTGTAGATGGCCCTGTGTTTCAATATACCTTCCTCAGTTGTTTGGGAGTCCTGGGAAAGGTCAGCCTGAAGAGATTATTAAAATGTTAGTGAACATAGTTCTGTGACTCCTGTTTTTGTTGTCATTACAGAGTTTAAGGACTCACATTCCTTTTGTATAATGTGCCTTTATTTTTTTTTCCATTCTGAAATGTCAAGTGGATTTTACTTTGGCACTTAACTTCAATGACAGTCTGATGACTAACATATTGTGACACCAGCTCCCTATGTTTCCTCATAGTAGTTAGTCAATAAATATATCTTTCTAAACTAGGTAAATGTAGGAGTGAATGTTAATTCTTTAAATTACAGTTGTTTGAAAGTAATAACATAGTTTAGGTTCTGGAGAGCTTAAATACCTGCATACATAAACTGACATAGTGCCATAAGACAGAAGATAATTTTTAGGGGTGAGAGAGATAATTTTGTTTCTGTTGCTTTATGGTTTCAGAATAATTCAATGATTTGAATGGTTGGCTTCTGTGAGAGATTTAGATACGTGCAGTTTAATTGCTTCAAAGAACAGATTTAGTACAGGTCATACTTTCAGTTATCAGAAGCGGCCCTCCTTATTTTGTTAAAAGCATTGAAAATAATAAATCATCTAAAATCCCAATAGAGAAGTAATTTCTGTTCTAAGGCATTACATACAGGACTGCCCTTTTCTTTCCCTTAAGAATGAGGTTGTAAAGCAATAGAAATTATGCTGTTCAAGTTTTAGATTCATTAAATTCAGTTTAATAAAATACTCATTCAAAAATTCTTTAAGAGAGGATATAATAATGAGTATACTAGGTGCTAGTTTTAGAGACTATTTTTAAATGTTGGCTGAAGGAGTTGTAATTGATATATACATATATATGCTTATATATTCTATAATTTTAATATGTGCTTAAAATTATAGGAGCAATAAAAAGATTTAGGTATTCCTGGGGGGTCTCTCAGTTGGTTAGCATGTTGTCCCTATATATCAAGGTTGCAGGTTTGATGCCCAGTCAGGGAATACACAAGAATCAACCAATGAGTGATAAATAAGTGGAACAACAAGTCGATGGTCCTCCTCTCTCTCTTTCTCTCCCTTCCTCTTTATCTAAAATCAATCAATAAAAATTTAAAAAAATGATTTAGCAAATAATTGTTATTTGTGAAAACAGTACTTTAAAACCCTTTTTATTTCATAATTTATATATTTTTTGTCTTTTATCACTGTATATATTTTATAATCCTTATAAATCTGAACTTTTCAAGTTAATGTACAATAAATATTTGTACTATATATTACCATTACTAATATGCTAAAACATGTTTAGAAATGTTACAGGCGAAAAAGCAATGAGCATTATATTTTCTTTGACATGTTTGACGTTAGCAGAAATGTTTTATTGATTTTTCTATAACTTTTAATGCATCCAATTTGTGGAGTAATGAAAATGCAATGATAATTGCCATAATGTAAGCAAAAATTGTATCCTACTTGAAAATTACTGTTCAGAAAATTCATTGTAGTGTAATCAGAGGTTGAGACTTAAGGGGCCAGAGGCTCTCCTGGTTGTGGTCTTTTGATTCAGGCTAAGAGGAACTCTTTTTTTTTTTTTCCTACTTAGGTGCTCTTTAACATGACATGTTTTGAGGGAGTCATTTAGCAGAAGTTTTTAATAATAATTGACACTGCTGCCGACCCAGAAGCATTTATGCTTCTAGCATTCAATGACAGTGTATTTTTTTGTCACTGTATATGGTAGTTTTTCTTTTATTGCACCCTGAGCTTTGGCCTACTCTCTCCGAAGTATTTATAGTATCTCCCGTGTTTACATTACTTACCTATTATCTCCTCTTTATTGACCAACGCATAAATATTATTTAGGCCATCTTTCTTACTAATCTCCCACTACTAGTGGTATTGTGTTAGGTTGCTCTGCTTTTAAAATATTAAATATTCCATGCTTAGTGTATATATTGTATAAAATAGTTATTAGGTTATTTTCTTTTATATTGCTTGTATTACTTTACTATGCATCCATTCATTCTTGCTCTTGTATATTCTTGTGTTTCTTTCCTTTAAAAGAATACAGCAAGTTATGTTAAATTTTTTAATTACTTTAACTGATGTAGCAATACAAATAATACAAATATTTTTTAAATAAGTAGGAATACCAATGAGAAAGTAAATTAATATTTTTACAGCATTTGCATCATGTTTGACTGTTCTCTGCACTTCAGCAGAATAGGAGGAGACTGTAATTTGGACTCTATAAAACCTTATCTGTCAAGTGATATGTAAATGGGGTTGTGTGCACACACATTGATATATACAGGCAAACACCCTCACAATTGTTAGCTCAGAAAGCAAGTGCTGCCTGTGAGTCTGCAGTACCTACACCTTGTTCGAAAGTGATTATTCAGTGTTCTGATGCTTCATTTGATGTTACTAGAACAAATCAAGACTCCTCCCCTTAAAACAATTACTGTATAAGAGTAAATAGAATTTTGTGAGCATCTATTTAATTTGGCCACTATTTACATTTGTAACCCAACAAGCTTTTTAGTAGAGGGATAGTGTCTTCAAAGACGTTTTAGTCTGGTACAGTTTACCTTCTTTTTCTGTACTCAGAGATTACACCTGGTTAAAACCAAGGCCTGGAAATGGAACTTCTTTTGATTATAAGTCCTCGGCATGCAATAATAGATGCTTAAATAAATACTTGGTGAATGGATTAGTTAGAAGTAAGACTATTTTGGCTACTATTTATTACTTGGAAAAGTGTTGGAAAGCTACTGAAATTATTTTCCTTTCCAGCTGGGTTGTGCTCTTAAAAATAGTGAGTGTGTATGGATGAAAATAATCATGACTACTGAGATGTGTTGCCATGTACCCAAGGATAATTGGCTCACTACCTGTTTACAGATTATTCACATTGGAGATCATATTCATAGCTCCAGAATAGTTTCTTTCTGACTCCCAATATAATCCTGGGCTTTCTCCTTCCTACTGTTACCTGGCATGGGCGTAGGAAGCCCAAACTAAATTTAAAATCAGCCTAAACAAATGTGCAGATCAGTTCCAGTAATCAAAGACTGGAAATCAGTCCAGCGATGACTAGTTTGGGAATATTTAATAATAACTGTGCTACTGATTCTGTAATGTGGAATTACCAGTATCTAAACATATTATCTTAATAGATGGTGCTGGAAACTGTTAGCAGATCAAGTCCTCAACTTCTTCCATTTCTATGCATAGGTCTTTACCTCACAAAAACTACAAGCACCAAGCTCCCTGATGGAAAGGTACATGGAAGATTCATTCATCCCCCTTTTCATTCAGCCATTCACACATTCATTATACATAAGAAAATTTTTACTTTACCATGTGCAAGGCATTATGGAAAAATGAAAATGAAATAGACATACATTTAATAATGAAATGCTTTAAAGTTTAGTGGAAAGTCTAGTGACTATGTGTATTCTTTTAAAATTTTTTTCTGCCTGTGTTACATTCTTCTATCCCATTAGATTGGTATGCTAATAACTGTGCTTTTTTTTTTATGATTGTCCCTTATGTTGCATGTTGATAGTAATATGTGCCACATTAAAATTAAACTTCGGCTCAACTATTATTCAATCCATATTCATTGTCACCTGATATTGTTGTGATTACCAGCATGTGTTGATCAGATGATTGGTTAGAATCATTAGAGAAAAGAATGACAGTAGTTGGCTCAAATGGGGAGACCGAGCTCTTAATTTGATTGAGGGGATGACCTTTTTGTGTGTTGGCCTCCCTCCGAGGCCCTGTTGAGTAAAACCAGACCTGCCTTTTGAGCTGGCTGGTATATGTGTGATTCTCCTGAAATAAAATGCAAAATTTGGTGTTCTTAAGAGCGAAGATTTCAGTGCATTGACACTTAAGTGGAATTACTTTTTAAAACAATTTGTTCTGTTTTTCATTTTGATTTCCTCTTCTGCGCTTCCTGGACCATTACAGGAGCACCGTGCAGCAAGTCACCAAGGTGGTCCGTTCAAACTGCAGACTTGTTTGTCATCCTTGTACAGCAGTCTCCTCCACAGCCACTCCAGAGAAGTGCGCCACATATCAGGTGAGAGTTTTGTGATGCTTGCTAGTTCCCATCTGAAGATAAAGTCTGGCCTGGAAAAATCACCTACTAGCTATCCATTAGCACTTTGTGGACTGTTTAATATAATTGTCTTTGCAAACATATTGTGTTGGAAATAGATTGCCAAGAGAGTTTTTATAAAAGTTGGGTTAAAGTATCTCTCTTTTTGGTTTCATTTTATTTGGCTAATGAAGAAGTTAACATTTGATTTTGTGATGATTGACCATTTTGTGTTGGGTTCGAGCCTGATCATTTTAGTTCTCACTTTTACTTAATGCCATGAGAATGCACAGCTTTCATGGTTTAGTTTTTTGTTGAAGAGTGCCACATGTGCAAGAGACCTCTTTGTTCAATAGCAACCAGTATTTGTTGAATCTTGAATTTCTCTGTCTCTGTCTGGATTTTACAACTTCCTGATTTCCTCACGTACAGTAAATTTTTCTGGCGTGGAAAGTCATGCAGACACCGGGTGTATGCAGGGTTGATGACTCATGCTTCTCTGTTGAAGAGAGGACAAGAGAATACCGCCTAAAGGGAGTCAGGAGAGATGGAAGTTAGGCACAAGTTGGGGCACTAAGGGTTTGGGAACACTGGTGTACGCAACCAAAGGCAATTGTGAAATAGATTCCCTGTTTCTATTTGCCTTGGGAGCAGTCCTGCTGGAAGCTGTGGAAATAGACTAGTTCAGAGGTTCCTAAGCCTGGCTGGGCAACACAATCACCTGGGAGCTTAAAAAAAATAGAATTTGGAACTCAACCCTAGACCTATTGAATCGAAATGAACCTTCATGGTTTCTTGGAATCAGATTGAGGCTCCTCAGGCTTGGGAACTGCTGGGATGGGTGGACTCCAGGCAGCTCTTCCTGAGAACTGTTCTACTTCCTTCCTTGGTGAGATGCAAAGTCTACCTTCCATCAAGCTTCACAAATAAAAATATGGATTTTCAACTAATTTGTTACAAGATGGACATTTGCTTTACCAAAATGTTCACCTTGAAAATAATTCTTCAGCTTTCTTTAAATAAAGAGCTCCCTCTCTTTATCTAAGATCCAGCTTTTAAGTTACATGTAAATTCTGTGGCATCTGAGGTAAGAGCATGGGGCTCTGGGCCCAGCCTGTCTGGCTTTACACCTAGAGCAGCCACTGTGACCTTGGGCCATTCTATAACCTCTTGATGCCTCAGTGTCTTTGTCTTAAAAATGGAGATAATATTAGAACTTTATCCGAGGGCTGCTGTGAGGGTGGAGTGAAATAATATACATATACAGGGTAGGATAATGCCTGGCATGTTTTATGATCCTCGAACATCAAGTAACTTATGTCTTGACAGGGTAATGCTGATATTCTTGTATTGTGATGGTTGCTCCTGGACCATATATGACTAAGAACAAGTAAACATACCTATACCTTGGTCTTTGGACCAACCCTAGACATTTGCAGCTCTGCAAAACAAATGAGACTTATTTGTTTTTCTGAATTTTGTGTTCATCCAACTCTCTTACTGGGATAGGATTCTCATGTATTGTTTTTATGTTGTTGTAGGATGAACTGATGAGTTGTATGCACATGATAAGTTATATGTGATTTGAGTAAAAATAAGCAAAGCCCTGAGTGATTGAAGTACTATGTCCCAGAAAGGATAGTCAGAGAAGTCTGTTGGGAGCAGAGGAGGGAGGAAGTTATCACATTATATCCTTGTAGAGTTTGGAACTGGGTACTTGACATTTTATTGGCTGTGGATTAGGGAGATGGTCTGTGAAAGGAAATAGGATCACCCTGCAGTTACATGCAAAGGTAAGCTGCTTTTGTTGTTGTTAATCCTCACCCAAGGATATTTTTCCATTGATTTTTAGAGAGAGTAGAAGGGAGGGGGAGAAACAGAGAAACGTCCTTTGGTTGCCTCCGCATGCACCCAGACCAAGGTGGGGGATGAGCCTGTAACTGAGGTATGTGCCCTTGACTGGAATTGAACTTGGGACCCTTCAGTCTGGGGGTTAATGCTCTATCCACTGAGCCAAACCGGCTAGGGCCAAAGATAAACTTCTTAAGGTCTCTGTCACCTGAATAAAAAATGGTGACATGCCTCACTGTTACTTTATCTCTTAGGGATGTTACCCATTTTTACAATTATATGCTAGGCAGAAAATCCTCACATTTAAGCTTTTAAAGGAAGTAGTTTAATTGAATATGTGGTTAATACATGTACAATTTTTAAAAAACTTGTGGTGTTTAAAATAATTTTATTGTGAAAATTCAGGCATCAGAAAGTCATATCTCTTGGCCAATATGTGCAAACTTATTGAGATGATACTGAAGTTTTTACATTTTATTAAGCAAGTCTACCAGTAAGTGTCTTACAAATATTTGTATTGTATTACTGACAAAGTAGTGCAGAGTCACCTTGAATTCCAAGCAACTGACATTTTCAGCGATTGCATTTAAAGTAAGCTAATAAAGCATTATTTAAACATTTTGCATAAGTAATGTCCTCTGTAGAGTCCTCACAATTGATGGCTAAATGTGGGCAGAGAAATCATGTCATTCATGTTGTATTCTGTTATATTCATTAAAGTTTTTCTAAAAACCTAAATTATAATATCCCTGTTTCTAGTTATTTTGCAAATAAGATATGGTTATAGGAAAGTTATGGCATAACTTGTTCACAGGCACTTTCTCTATTAAGAAATGATTCATTCATGTATTCGTTGTGTATAATTTTAAACTACTACACGGTGCTGTGGGTATGAAAGTGAGTAACAACCACCCAAAAGTGGCAATACTCTGTGTGTTCTTTGTGGTCAGGTAGGTGAAAGAAGAAATGCTTGGAAAGAACTAAGACAAAGCAGAATGGGGTGGTTGTACTTCCTGGGGTACGTTCTCACACAGAAGGAATTCAGAAGAATAATGCTGAGTAGGATGACGAGGAAAGACTGAGGAGGAGGGATCATTTGAGTTCAGCTCTGAAGGCTGGTTAGCATTTCTGTGGGTAGAGATGGATAGAGCAGGAGGAAGACCATTGAAGTGGCTGGGATATGATAGGGAGGGCACGGTGTGTAACTGACAAGGCCCCTTTGGCTGAAGCACAGGTGCTGGTGGACATCTGAGTTGCTGGAGCCCAGCAGACAGTACAGGGTGTGGGAATAAAATTGCTGACAGGTCAGGTCTGGAGATAAATTTGGAGGAGTCATTGGCATGAAAGTGATCTTGGAAATTGGGCTTTGGGTTTTGTGTGTGGCAGAAGGTTTGATAGGCAGAAGGGGATGACTGTACCTCAGGGGTGACATCAGCTGGTGCAGAATATGTAGAGAGAAGGTAAGAGGCATGGAAGAGAAGCTGGAATGTTGGAGTGGCACAGCCTTTGTATGCTTCCTCTTTAAGACCTGGGGTGGAGGGTGGGTGGGTGGAGAAGTGGGGATGATGCATGGGTGGGTAATGGGGGGTCTGCCCTGGAAGCTCAAGCACTTTGGAGTCTCAGCCCAATGAAATCTTGTTGAAACCTTTATTCCTTTAAGACATTTAAAAAAGAAAGGAACATGAGCTAATTTTAGCTAAACCTAATACGTGTGTGTATGAAAACGAATGTTGCTTTTGAAATTCCGTGCATGCATTATCTGTTGTCATTTAAACAAACCATCCTTCTGTTTTCCTCTAAACAGTTATATTAAGAAGCTTTTCAGTGAGGCCCTGTACATAGTAACAACAATTCCAGCATTTCCTTTGATCTTTCCCACTGTTGATTTATTCATTTCATGTGATATGCGTAAATCACATTGTGCCACCTACTTGACTCTGGAGCAATTGTTCATTTTTGTGGCAATTCATTTACTGTACTTAGATAAATCACATTAATATGGATGTGTTTTATAACTTTAGAGGCTTTTCCGAGGCTTTATATGGACTCTTTTTAAATGTCACACACACACACACACACACACACACACACACACACACATCACACACACACACACAGAAAGCACAGCTTCCTGAAGTTTGGCTTCCCATTTATATTTATAGGGGGGAAAAAGTAGTATTAGTGAGCCTTGACTTTGGAGTGGGTGAAAACTACTTGGCTCAAAATGATGGGGAAAGCTGGAAATTATCTGGTTACACTGCTGTTAGTGGGCAGTCTCTTTTAATATAGTTAAAGACAATTTGAAGATCATTTAAGTGTTTTGTTTTGTTTTTTACATTAGTTTTAGATGGGCTGTTTATATTCCCCGAAAGAGCTCAGAATGAGGCAATGACTTACTTACCTTTCACAAAAGACAGGAAAGTTAGGATGGGGGTGAGAGGAATGGAAAACACAACTCCAGGGTAAGTCACTTTGCAGATATTTAATAAGCATCTACTGTGTGAGAAGCTTTATGCCAGTTGGGCCCTAAAAGAAATTTAGAGATGATCAGTAGTTCTCACTTACTGTGTATTAACTCATTTAATCCTCATTGCGGTCTTCTGAGGTAGACACTATTATTATCTCCATTTCATGGATGGGGAAACTGAGGCACAGGGACAATAAGTGACTTGGTCAAGGTTGACCGGCTCTAGTGGTAGCATCTTTACTGCTGCCATGCATTGTCTCTCAAGGCCTAAGCCTGGTCCATAAGAAGCTTACAGTTGAGCCCAGAAGGCAAGGTATGTCCAGGAGTAATATTTAAACAATTACAACAGAGGAACAGCATACTCTCAGAGGCCAGGATCAGGGAAGGGCTCATGGGCAATGAGCCTTCTTTTTTAATGCTTGCTTGTCCATTCTGAGCTGCGTATGGGCCGTCTTTGTGGTATTTTATTTCACTTTCTCATATTCCTACACATTTTCAATAATTATTAATTGCAGAAAATGATGACAGTGGCAATATGCTTATCTGTGTTTGGGCTCTAAATGTTGTTTGACATCAAGAGTCCCTGTGAGACGATGAACTTTTGACTCTTCAAAGAACTTCACTGGGTCATTGCTCAGCTTGCAAGATTTGGCAGATAGGAACT